CAATTGAAAAAAAAAGAATAATTTAGAGGAGGGAGATTTTATTTGGGCTAATGTTTCCAGAGGTTTACTCCATGGTAGGCCAAGTCCATTTTTCTGAGCTCTAGGTGATACAGAACATCATGACAGCAAGGTTTGGTGGAGAAGAGATGCTTCATTCATGACTGGCCAGGAAGCAGAGAGAGGGGAGGGGTCAGGGGTGTCAGGGCAGATGCACCCTTCCAGGGCACGCCCCCAATGACCCACCTCCTCTAGCCATGCCCCACCTGCCTACAGTTACCATCTAGTTAGTCCATTCCAACTAATTAGAATAGACTAATTAGATTACAGCTCTCATAGCCTCATCATTTCACTTCTGAATATTCCTGCATTAACAAAGGAACCTTTGTGGGATGCCTCATATCCAAGCCATAATAGAAAGGAATATTGTATAATTCCAAAGAGATATTCAGAAACACTGTCTAGGACTTGGAAATGAGCATAAGGAACTACTTAGTGTCCTAAAAGCACAGAGATGGCAAACCCTGGGGATTATTGAATTCTCTAGTGCTGGGCATCTATGCTGACTTGTTATTGTCCAATATGGTATGGACAGGAGCTAACTGGTACAAAAGTAATTGGGAGGCAATGCCAATAGATTTTGTTGCACTAGAGAAATATTTGCTCCTGGTATAAAAGATCATGTCAAATGTTACATTTTATAGCCCTACAGGATATTAACATGTATTACATTTATTAACATTTTTTCTTATTTGTTCTAATTACTTATACAGGACAGCAGAAGGCATTTCAACTCATTGTACACAAATTTAACAAATTTTTAACTATTAAAAAATGTGTGTGTGTATCATCTATTCTTCAAAGTCCTTTTTGGCAGGTCTTCATAACTTATTGGTTTCTATAATGATTACCAAATCAAATAAAATCTCACACATATGTTCATTTTTTATGTGTAGGTGTTTAGCACTTACATTGTGGTAAGATGCTCAGGTAGACTTACATGGAAGCTAGATAAAAATGCCTCTCTTGAGACATGCTCTTCAGAGTCTGTATTTGGCTCCCAGAGTGAATGTCAAAAATCAGTAAATTTTTAACTTTGTGACTTCCTGTTTATTTAGGTTCTTTCATACTCTGCTGCTTTTTGTTTGTTTGTTTTTGTTTTGAGTGCTTTGGTCCTTGTTCACTGAAGGCAACTAAGTTATTTCTGTCTGTTGTAGCGATGGGGTTCAGTTGTGTGGTCTAGTTGGTGATCTGTGCCAGATGCCTGGTTCAGGGGAATGCGAGCCATGTTTTCAATTCTTTAAAAAATTATAATTTAGCAGGGAAAGCTAGTGACAAATGGAGGAATCCCCTTTTGCAGAGGTCCTCTTTCAGATGCTGGTCTCCAAGCACTTACCAAGATGTGAGCATTTGGAGTCATTTGGAAAGAAGAAAATTTCTTTTCAACATCTATATTGAAAGAGTTTCCAAGAGAACGACAATTGACAAACCAACAGACAAAAGTAACATAAAGGTGAAAATGTGCTTTGTAATCCCAAAGTATGGAAGATAGAAGACATAATAGTGTAGGAGATAGAAAGCTGATATTAAAAAGAAAAAAGGAAAAGTCCTTAAAAAGATTCCCATGAGGTCAAGGTAGAATTTTGTTACTTTAATACTATACTTTTAAAATGCTAAAAGAGGAAATAAAGGATAAGAAATAAAGTGAATACAGCCAGGACAAAGATTTCTTTGATGGATAGAAAAAGAAATAAGAACAAACATAATGGTGTTCAGGAGGAAAAGGTCATTCTCTAACCTCTTGGGTTCTTTTTATAGGGGCTTGCAAAGTAAAAAAACAAAAGACATTAGCAGATGAAAAAGCACACTGATTTTATTAATATTTATACATGTGAGTGCTCACAGAAGAGGAGTAAAACTCCAAGAAGCAGACTTGTGTTTATAGGTTGTTTTAATGAAGAAAATGTAGTTAGCGCTTTAAAAGATAATAAATATGAGGAATGAATTAGGAAATTTAGAGGGGGTATTAATGGAAGATAAGAGTTATTTTAATAATATCTGCTTATACAAATTTGTCTTGGTGTTGACTCCCTTTCTCCAGGGATAAGAATTGCACATTTAGTTCTGGTATTGGACTGGGTTTGGTGGTGGGATGCCTCCATGAGGGGAAATTGATGCTCTACTCTTAGGTGGATCAGGAAAGGAAAAATAACTCTCCCTCCATCTCTTGATTCTCAGATTCCTTCAGCTCTAAATAGTATGCCAAAGTGCCAAGGGTTGGGGTGACATAATCTAATCCCTCTCAATGGCTTTCTATATCTATATCTTTACTATATCTATAGTAGGTTCTGATGTGTAATGATGAGTAGATTCTGAAGAAAGCTGTTGTTCATTCACTCATTCATGGCACTCGGCCAGAAGCTCAAAATAGAGACATTTCTCTGCTCTTAAAGGTATTCCAGATCCGGGGGTCAGATATGGAAGCAGATTAAGTAAATACAGCACCAAGGAACTCTGCCGTATAAGTACGTGTGTATGTGATACAAAAGAACACAATAGGATAAATCACCAATTTTATCTGAGAATAAATATAACACAGTTCTGAAAATATGAGTATTGCAGTTATTTTCCATGGCTTCTGAGCAACTCTGACTGTAAACATGAAATCAGAGTCACAGTGACTCAGTAGCGATTACTGTCAAATGACAGAGTTAGCTAGCAAATCAGTATTCACCGGAAGCTATGTTCAATAAACAATTCACTTGGAGATGTTACTTTGGTTGAAAATGTGTATCTGTGAAAGCTTCACCAGTAGCTTATTCTCTTCAAAAGGAAAGTAAATCAACAAAATGGTAATAATTATACACATGTCCAATAATCTATCTCCATAAATATGTATGTATATACATATACTTGTATATGTATTTTACAAAATGTTTATATTTTTACAGTGGAATCTGCAAAGCACACTTCAGATTCTGTTGTGCTAATACCTACTGAATACTTGTGTCTAACTGACTTTTAACTGAGTCTGAGAGCCTTTTTATACAGTGTTTGCATCGAATTTGTTGTAGTGACATCTGTTCACTGTGTGAGAATGTGCTAGCTGGATTTGTTTGGTGAACTCTTTGTCTCCAGTCAATCTTTTTCTTAGAAGTTAACCAATAGCTTGCATGCAGATTCTCACAAGAACTCAGACTTATGTAATAGCCTTTTCTCAACTAGCTCAACGCATCTACAGTCTGCTGTTGTTTTCCTAAATGCTTGATGACTTTCTACAAACCTATTCCTACCAACCTATTATATCTGATCTCAAATCTGCTGCAAATAAACTTTACCTTTCTTAAGCTGTCAGTCACAGGCAGGATCTAAGTGAATTAAATCAGTTGCCCTGGGCAACGCTGAAGTACAACGGTTTCGAGGAAATCAGCATGGTTCTTTGAAGTAAACAGGGGTAATTTTCCATTCTTTTTATGAATACTTTGTGCCAGTAGAAAAATCAAACCTCGCTGTGATGATAACATAAATGTGTTGATCTTCAGTTACAATCTGACTGAAATGCAGCCAGGGCCAGAAGAAAGGTTCTTTGTATGGAAATCCTTCCTGTGTCTTTGGGTGGGCTACAGAGGTGGTGGTGGGTGGGTGGGGGGCAAAACCACAAACACAATCAGGGTCATTGTGCAGGTGGTCCTGCTAGGCAAGGACAGCTGTAAATGGCCATTTATTTTGAAAGACAAGCTATTCATTTCGGTTTGCAGAGAATACACAAACTATTTGAAATTACTTCTAAAAAATCTTCTCTCTCACCTCATCTTTTTCTCTTTTAAAAGCTATGTTCATTTTAACTGGTACAATTAGTAAAAGGATTTCCCCAATTAATTTTTATCAGGTGCCATTTATTTTTCCAGAACTTTCTTGGCAGTCTGTTCTGTGATTGTTTTTGAACGTGGAATTCACCCTCTCGACCCACCTGTCAGTTTATAAACAACCAAACAGAAGGCCAGGAGAATGTGGGCTTCCAGGCCTGCAAGGGTTCAAACAGGGCCCAAGGCTTCTAATTACAAATCCCAATTCAAGAGGGCTAAGCAGTCCTTCTAGAGACTTTCATTTAATCCACTGTATACAGTGTCTTTTTTGCCACGTTACAGTAGTTCTGATTAGGATGCTTGGGACCTAAAGACATAAATCTTTAAGTGGCTTACATTTGGAACCACTGTTTCTTTTCTCTCTCTTGATTCTCAAATTCCTTCCCCAGGAGCCAAGAGGACCTGCCTGATTCTCCCTTCCTCCTTTCCTGGGTCTTCTCACCCTCACTCCCCTCCCATTCCTGGTCCTGTGGCACATTCACCTTCCGCCTCAGGGACTGTGCTAGATACTAAAGTGTGGCTACTTCTATTTCCACCCTCACCCAACCAGTTCATGCTACAGAGCATCAGCAAGAAATAAGCGGTGTTAAAAATGGTCACATGCATTTATGAATATGTCAAAATGAACCCCACTATTATGTATAACTATACTACACTAATAATTTTTTTTAAGTAGGAGCAGGAAACTAGGATGAGGTTAAGAAATAAAATGATCAACGGTTCCCTGAACTTAAAACTGGATCACAAACCTTGATGGGGTCTGGTGGTAGATTTTCAAGGCTCCGTGAATTTCTCTATACATATTTTCTAAAGGTGGAGTCTTTATTTTGACAAAAAGGTATAAATTTCACATGTACACTAAATCATAGGTGTGCTTATAACCCGAGTATGGACAGGAAATTTCAGCATCCACATTTGTTTTTGGTTATGTGTCCCCCATAGAAAGCCACTTTTAAGAAAATGCAATTTTTCTTGAATTCGTGGTCTGAGCGATGAGGGACTTGAGGCTGAGAGGTACAGGGAGCCAGGGTTGGACGGAGGCTGCGGAGATAGACAGTGATCACTCTCAGAACGGAGGAGCTCCCTTTGACAATGTCGTACGAGGATTGAATATGATCCTGCCCAGGGGTAGGTAATTTAAAAATAGTGTCCCACGTTCAAAGCCTCCCTGGGCTGGGTGTGGATCTTATGGGCGCTGCACGCGACCACGACAGATGCGTGCTTCCTGCCACGAGCTGGTCCTTTGGTTTTTCTGGAGGTTGCACGAGGCTCGGAATCTGTCGAGAGCTCTGCAGTGGATGCTTCAGAACTGCTGAGTTTTATTAAATGCTTCCCCAACTGCTGCTCCTCGGGACTTCCTCCCACTCCCGTTATCTGTTCTCGGAGGCTGGTGACTAAGGTTTCTGAATTATAAGGTACGCTCTTCAGCGGAACAGCCACCCTCCCCCGTCCCGGCTCCTCGGCTCCTCGGCTCCTCGTGGCTGTGCTCCAGCTCCGGATCACCACGTTTCTTCACTCATTTCCTTCTGGCTTTAAGAAATCTGATATTTTCATTGTTTCTTCCCAGGAGCACTTGGGACTTCAACTCTGAGAAGAGAGGGTAGAGATGAGAAGCACATTCAGGTTCCCTGGGGAGGGCTGGAGGGACTTGTTTATCCTTTGGCCGGTACCTCATTTGTTATTTCTTGCTGTCTTGCCTTTCCCCTGAGCCTGCTTTCTTGTTCTTTCTCCCCATCTCTTTCTCCATCTGCCCTCTGCTCATGCACACAGTCGCATGGACACTCCACTTTAGTGTCTAATAAGTCACAGGGGTGATTTTTTTTTTTGAGGGGAGGGGTTCCAGGAATGAAACTCAGGAGCATTTAACCTTGAACCACTTCCCCAGCCCTTTTTTATTTATTTTATTTATTTAAAGACAGGGTCTCACTGAGTTGCTTAGGGCCTTGCTAAGTTGCTGAGGCTGGCTTTAAACTTGCGATCCTCTTGCCTCAGCTTCCCCAGCCGCTGGGATTACAGGTTTGCACCATCGCGCCTGGCACAGAGGTGATTTGTGATGCCCAGTTTCTAACCTACATAACCATACCTGAAAAAAGTAAAAGCAATTATGAGACCTAGAGACTCTGCCAGGTACTCTGCTCTTAACTCATGCTGTTAAGAGTTGGATGACTCTTTTAAGAAATCCAGCCCTGCTGTTCAAGCAGAGGGGGAGATTTCTGGTTCCTGTGTATAAATGAGCTCCACTTCTCTCAAAGAATCTAACACCCTTTTAGTTGACACTTTGAGATTTTTCAACCATGGGAGAAAGACTAACTGTGCTCATTTTGGTTGAAACACAAAATGCTGAAGAAGAGCATACTGGCTTTACTTGGGTCAGACATCCACATTGGAACTTAACCAGCTGGGACCAAGGATGGAGGGCAGGCTATGGTGGGGGAGGCATATTTTATTAACATGGTAGTTCCCATATAGATCTGGCAAGGACAGGCACAAATTGAAAAGAAAGAAGAGGTTCCAAACAGATCATCTTAGGTGGCCATTTTCTATATGCAATGGTGTGTGACAGTTTCAACAATCATATAAGGTCAACATTACTGTCTCCACTGGGCAAATAAGAAAAAGTCTATTGGAGAAGGTAGGCCACGTGGATGAGAAATGGTGGGTCAGATCCACTTCTGAATCCAACTGTCCCATTTCCACTGTGACATGACACATAGTGCTGTTTGGATGGATATGAACACTGAATTGCCTTAGTCAAACAAAGGAATTCTTAACCAGTTGTTACTCAGTATCCACGCCAAATGTCACTGCCAGTCATCACTTATTTAATTGTTGGTTGTTTTTATAAATCCAAATGATGTGATGCTAGAGCTTCAAGGAACTTAAGGACATGATCTTCTCCACCCCAAACCCTATTAGAATCCCAGCTGCCTTCAGGCTCTACATAAGCAACCTGAGGGTCTATAGCCTAAGCTCTCAGTCCTTGAGCCACAGGAATCCTGTTCATCATTCTCACCTTTCACTCTTGTGTCCACCGCCAGTTACTGTATCACTCGACCTGGCTCCTTCACAATACCTCATATCCAGCTGTTACACTCTCTGACTGTGCTTTCCTTGAATTTCGGCTTTCTCAGGTGGTTCCACTAGCCCTCACGGTTTCATTGAGGTATCCAATTTCTCAACCACCCTCCCTGACTTCCACACCTGCCTTACTCCCCTCATGTTCTCTCTTCCCTCTTTTCTTGGCCAAGAATAAAAAAATGCATCTTCACGTCAACTTGACATGAACCTTTTAAATCTATGTCGTAACCTGACATTTTACCACTCAAAAAGCCCTCCAATGCTTCCCATCTCACTCAACAAAACACAAGCCCTCACCATTGTATCCAGGACACTTCCAAGATACGACCTTCCTTCTCAAATCTAATCTCTCTGTTCCTCTGTCCTCCTGGGAGTGTCAAGCTTGCTCGCTGTATGTAATTCACTTCCTCTGCCTGGAAGGTTCATCTCCCAGAGGAGATGTTTGGTTTTAAAATTCTGGACAAATTTCTCACACTCTCCTTTGCCCACATCACATCTTTTCAATGAACTTTAGGAAGTTCCATGTCAGTTACTGAGACATGAAGGATAACTTCTTGGATTCTAGAAAACAATCACGGAGGACATTTTTCTGTGATAGTAATGGGAGACTCCAGATCCTAAGAAAATTGTAAGCAAAAACACTGTCTTAGAATGGCTCTCCCTTCCCTTTGAGAGACCCCAGCCCAATAACTTTAGGCCCAGTTACAAAATCATCAGGGCATGCTACAAACCTGCGCAGGCACCAGATGTGTTTTTCAGATAACCAGTTAAATGTAACCGATTAGGAAAGAACAGGATGGTTGGGAAAGAACCGGGTAATTGTGTCCCAGGACACGATCGGGCAAACCGGAACAGATAAGCAGGAACAGAAAGAATGGAATGTAAAACTGTGGGTTTTCCAGGAACATACAGTGAAAAACAACCTTGCTCTTTAGGTGACCTATATGCTAGGTTCAAAATGACCAATAAGAAACCTGTTGCTTGCCGCGCGCGCGAAACCTGCTCCTTTACCCCATAAAAGATCTGTGCCCCAAAGCCCGGTGTGCCAGTTCACCGAAGCTCCGGCTGAGGTTCTGCTGCACACCCGCAGGCGCCTGTGTCCTAATAAACCGCCTCTTGCTTTTGCAGCCAGTGTCTCGTGTGCTTTTCCTTGGACAGGGAATCGGAGGGTCTTTCATGTGGAGGTCCTCTGGGTTGTAAGAGGCGTCCAGCTTCTGTATGATATCCAGATCTTGGTCCTCATAGACCCATTTATCCTCATAGTCATCATGTTGTGGGTTAGCCCGTTGGGGCAATAAAGTCATTACCAAGAGTTGAGGCCCCTGGGCTGCTTTTCTGGCTGTCTCATCCGCCAATCTGTTTCCCCTGGCCTCCGGAGTATCTCCTCTTTGATGGCCAGGGCAATGCATGATACTTAACTTTTTAGGCAGAAATAGAGCTTTAAGTAAGGCCAATATTTCAGTCTTATTTTTGATTTCTTTCCCATCTGAAGTTAGTAGCCCTCGCCGTCTGTAAATTTCCCCATGTATATGAGCAGTGGCAAAGGCATATCTACTGTCCATATACACATTTAGCTTCTTTCCCTCAGCCAACTTTAAGGCTTGTGTCAGAGCTATTAGTTCCGCCCGCTGAGCTGAGGTTCCACCCGGCAATGCACTCGCCCAGATTACCTCAGATTCGGTGGTGATGGCTGCTCCTGCTCGCTGTTCCCCATTGAGCAAATAACTGCTCCCGTCGGTGTACCAGACCAGTTCTGCATCTTTCATAGGTTGGTCCGTGAGGTCTGGTCGGGTTCCTTGTGTTTCTGCAAGAATCTGCTGGCAGTTGTGGGGATTTGCTTTTCCAGGAAGCGGCAGGAGGGTTGCTGGGTTCAGTGTGACCATGGGGCCGAACTGAATCTGGTCCGTGTCCAGCAGCAAGGACTGGTAATGGGTGAGTCGGGCGTTGGACACCCAGCGGTCAGGTGGTTGGCGAATTATTGCCTCGATGGCATGAGGGGTTAACAAAGTTAGTGGCTGTCCCAGAGTCAGCTTAGTGGCATCCCTAATTAGGATAGCCACTGCTGCTATCATTCGAAGACATGGTGGCCATCCTGACGCCACTGGATCCAATTTCTTGGACAGATAGGCTATAGGACGCCTCTAGGGTCCCAGTTTTTGGGTTAGGACTCCTTTAGCATAGCCCTGTTTTTCATCCACAAACAAGTCAAAAGACTTGGTAACGTCTGGTAGGCCTAAGGCAGGGGCTGACAGAAGGGCCAATTTGATACGATCAAATGCCAATTGGTGCTCCTCAGTCCAGGTAAAGGGGTTGCTTTGTTTGGTTAGCAGGTATAAGGGGGCAGCTATCTCGGCAAACCCAGGAATCCAAAGTCTGCAGAAACCTGCTGTGCCCAGAAATTCCCGTAGTTGTTTAGGGTTCTGGGGAGTTGGTATGCTTGAGATAGTTTCTTTTCTGGCTGTGGTTAGCCATCGTTGGCCATTATGAAGTTCATAGCCAAGGTAAGTAACTTTTGTCTGACAGATCTGTGCCTTTTTAGCCAATGCCCTGTACCCCAACTGTCCCAAAGTTCGCAATAATGCCTCCGTACCTGTAAGGCAATCTTCCTCGGTGGTAGCAGCCAACAGGATGTCATCTACATATTGGAGCATAATTAAGGAGGGGTGTCTTACGCGGAAATCGGCCAGGTCCTGATGTAAGGCTTCATCGAAGAGCGTCGGGCTATTCTTGAACCCTTGTGGCAGTCTGGTCCAGGTCAATTGACCGGAGACCCCTTCGTCGGGATCTTTCCATTCAAATGCAAAGAGGGCCTGGCTTCGAGGGCACAGTCTCAAACAGAAAAAGGCATATTTTAAGTCTAGAACGGTGTACCAAGTATGGGTAGGAGGCAAGGTGCTGAGGAGATTGTAAGGGTTAGGCACCGTGGGGTGGATGTCCTCTACCCTTTTGTTTACCTCTCTTAAGTCCTGGACAGGCCTATAATCATTTGTTCCCGGCTTTTTTACTGGTAGCAATGGGGTGTTCCAGGGCGACCGGCAAGGGGTTAGAATTCCTTGGTCTAGGAGGCGTTTTATATGTGGCCTGATGCCTTGGTAAGCTTCTCTTGACATAGGATACTGTTTAATATTTATAGGAGTAGCAGTGGTTTTTAGGTAAATGACTATTGGAGGTTGTTGTTTAGCCATTCCCATTCCACCAGTTTCAGCCCATGCCTCCGGGTAGGACTCAAGCCTATAGTTTATGTCCTTGTCAAGTGTAGGAGGTTTGCTAAAAAGTTTATATTCATCCTCTAATTTGAACGTTAATACATGTAAAGGGGCTTGATCTGGTCCCGTAATGGAGGTACTCCCATTTTTAAAATAGATTTGAGCTCTTAACTTGGTTAATAAGTCTCTTCCTAGTAGTGGATACGGACAATCAGGCACATGCAGAAACGAATGGGAAACTTTACCTGTAGCAAGGTGTACTTCTCTCTTGGTGGTCCATCGGTACAGCTTGCTTCCAGTGGCGCCTTGGACCCACGTCGTTTTGTGGCTCATGGGTCCTGGCGTTCGTGTTAACACCGAATGTTGGGCTCCAGTATCTACTAGGAAGGTTACAGGTTGCCCCCCTACTTGCAAAGTTACCCGGGGCTCAGGGGGGGGAGCTCCTGGCCCTGACTCCCCTAATCTTCATCCAGGGCTAGTAATTGAGGGGTCCGGTTAGTACCTCTTCGGGTATTGGGGGGTTTCTTTGGACAGTCCTTAACCCAATGTCCTTTCTCCTTGCAGTAGGCACATTGGTCTTGGTCTATACAGGGTCTGCCTCGTTCCCTTTCCCTACCTGTTCTATCTCCTCGTTGCCCTGCCTGAGTTACAGTGGCCAATATCTTACTTAATTCTTTATTACGCTTTCGATCTTTTTCTCTTTCTCTCTTATCTAACTCTTCTCTAAATTTAAGATCTCTTTCTTCCTGCATTTTTCTGATCCTTTCTTCCTTTTCCTCTGGGGTTTCTCTCTTATTAAAAATCTTTTCTGCTTCCTTCAATAAGTCCGCTAGAGTAAAGTGTTGTAGGTTATCTAATCTTTGCAACTTGGTCCTAATGTCTGGAGCGGATTGCCAAATGAAAGCCATAGATACGTTTCCCTTCTGATCCTCACTATCGGGGTCGAAAGGAGTGTATCTCCGATAGGCTTCCTTTAGTCTCTCTAGGAATGCGGTCGGAGTTTCCTCTGAGCCCTGGGTGGTTTGTCTTACCTGAGCCAAATTGGTGGGCCTTCGCCCTGCTCCATGGAGACCCGCTATGAGTAAATGGCGATAGAGACGTAGGTGGTTCCTACCTGCATCAGTATTATAATCCCAATCCGGTCGAATTAAGGGAAAAGCTTCATTGATCAAATTTGGGAGTTGGGTAGGGCGCCCATCATCTCCCGGCACATTTTTACGGGCCTCTAAGAGAACTTTTTGTCTCTCCTCTGAAGTGAGAAGAGTCTGCAAAAGCTGCTGACAGTCATCCCATGTTGGTTGATGAGTCACTAGAATAGATTCAATTAGGGAAGTTAGGGCTACAGGGTCATTGGTAAAGGAGGGATTGTGGGTTTTCCAGTTATAAAGATCAGAGGCGGAGAAAGGCCAATACTGATATTGGCCGTTAGGACCTCCCGTCTGCCGCAAGGGGAAGGCCCTTGAAGTATCCCCTGGGGCGGCAGGTTCTCGGCGCCCTCGAAGTCTTCCCACCATGGGGGATGGGCCCGGAGGGGCATTGGTAGTTGGACCCTCTTGTTCTTCTTCTCCTGAAGAAACCTGGATGGGATCTGGAACTGGTAAAGGTTGGGGATGGTAAGGTGGGGGTTCTTCAGTCATTAGGTCTATAAGAGTTGAATCCTCTGGTGGTAAGACCTTCTTGGGTTTTGTCCCTGCTAGGGTCACGTTTTCGGGTTTATCTAGAACAGGGTAAAGCCTAGAGGTTTGAGGAGGGGGTGCGGGTATCGGGATAAGAGGAGCAGAAGGTGGGGGTGGGGCTTCAAGGGGAGAACGGGGAGGAAGCTTAGGTGGAGAGAAAGGGGCGACCCAAGGAGGCGGGTCAGAGGCCAGATCTTTCCAGGTAACAATGTAGGGCACTTGATCGGGGTGTCCTTGAGGACCTTGGGTGAAAACCCGAGACTTCATCTGTGAAATAAGATCAAGGTTAAACGTCCCTTCTTTTGGCCAGCCAACATTGAACGTTGGCCACTCCGTGGTGCAGAGTGTTATCCATCTTTTCTTTTTGATTTCTACTGACCGGTTGTTAGCCTGGTTCCGGACGTCCTGCCAGTGATCAAGAGTAAGACTCAAGGGAGTTTTTATAGATTGTCCCATGTTAGCCTTAGATGGTATGAGAAAGTACAGAGACAAGGAGACAGATACAAAAATCAGGCTGGACACAAAGAACACTGCGCGGCCTCGGCACAAACTGAAAGTATCTGATGGATTAGGGGGAGGAGGGACTCCGTCACCCACAAGAACAGTGTACTCTTCGGAAACACTAGAGGCCCCCCAAAAATGGGCCTCCTGAATCCCTGGGACGTCTCCCAGGGTGGCAGGGGAGAAGTCCGAGTTCGTCAACTCCTTCTCAAGCTGCCCAAAAAACAGAGCGACTACGCGTAATCGTACAGACGCCGCGCACAGACAGATAACGATCGGAGACTGCAAACATAGAACAAAAGAGACACAAAACGCACAAAACGACACGAGCTGGCCAGCTTACCTCCCAGTGATGCCGGGCGTTCCCCGGGCAGGGATCCGGACGAGGGTGCAGGAAATCTCGGTGGGACCTCCACATGAAAGACCCTCTGATTCCCTGTCCAAGGAAAAGCACACGAGACACTGGCTGCAAAAGCAAGAGGCGGTTTATTAGGACACAGGCGCCTGCGGGTGCGCAGCAAAACCTCAGCCGGAGCTTTGGTGAACTGGCACACCGGGCTTTGGGGCACAGATCTTTTATGGGGGAAAGGAGCAGGTTTCGCGCGCGCGGCAAGCAACAGGTTTCTTATTGGTCATTTTGAACCTAGCATATAGGTCACCTAAAGAGCAAGGTTGTTTTTCACTGTATGTTCCTGGAAAACCCACAGTTTTACATTCCATTCTTTCTGTTCCTGCTTATCTGTTCCGGTTTGCCCGATCGTGCCCTGGGACACAATTACCCGGTTCTTTCCCAACCATCCTGTTCTTTCCTAATCGGTTACATTTAACTGGTTATCTGAAAAACACATCTGGTGCCTGCGCAGGTTTGTAGCATGCCCTGATGATTTTGTAACTGGGCCTAAAGTTATTGGGCTGGGGTCTCTCACCTTCTGCCTCCTAAAGCTTCCTTTCCTCATTATGGAAGCTTTTCATAAGGAAGCAGGTATGTGGATACATCTGAGACTAGTCAAAACCTCATGGGTCTTCCTGCTCCCTGGTTGGCCAGACCACAACCCACCTTTCCATCTTGTTCTCTGCCACCTCCACCTTCCTATCATAAGCTTTTTTCCAGAGCAACTGAATCTGCTGAGTGTACTTAGTCTGTAGACACTGTTGATACAAAGTTTGTTATGTTCATTCCACTGACAAGCTATTTGCATCTTAAAAGATAATCTCATTGATCCAAACAAATTCCAAATTGGTAGATTGCATAAGGAAGCTGGTTTTGACAGGGAATCTTCGAAGAGCCCGGGCCTCCTTTGCGACACTAATTCTGTGAAAACATAGCAGCAGCAAGTGAATTCCTTACTGTTGAGAGTTGGTCAAATCCTGATGTGTGAGAAATGCTATTAAAAATGCTATAAAATAGTTGGCATCTTGAGGTTTTCAAGAGAAAGAATGCCCTAAGTAATGTTACTCAATCTTGCATTTTATGTCTATATTTTTTTCAAATGTCATTTGTTGGTAAAGTCAGTATTGTAGCATTTGAGTGGAGTCCTCAACTCCCATTACTTTTGGCTGAGACCCCTCTGTAATTTTGAAGTATAGAGTCTGATGATCATGACCTTAAGGATATGTTCTGTTTTTAAAGGAAATATTTAACCATGGAGCAAGACAGTTTATCACAGGCACTTAATTTCATGTGGAAACCCAGCTGTTATTCTCTCTGGAATTTTTAACAACGATTAAGGAAAGCAAAGTGGTAGAATTGGAACCTGAGCTCTAGTTCATGGGCCAAAAGCGTTTCCAGAAGAAAGATTTCAGATGGACTGAAAAGAAAGCTCAAAACATGGCGGAGAGCAAGCCGCCAAGACACACAGAGCACTTCAAACAAACCCCAGCCTCATCCTTGAGCAGTCATTAGTTGGCCAACTGCCACAGGAAGATATGTGGAACTCCCGGGAAGTGTGCCCAACGCAAGAGTTCAAAGCTTCCTGTTTGAACAAACTCTGAGTACCAACAGATAAAAGGCCATCCCCATTTTAGAAAAGACTGGGGGTGTTTTGGTTAGCAGCCCGATGTCAAAACGTTTCAGAATGTGCTGGTCTCCCTGTACCTACTATCCATGTCGATTGCCTTTAATCATCAGCTTCTCCCAGGCTGTATTTTGGGTGGCCTAAGCAAAATATAATAGCTTGAGAAATTACAGAGCAGTTAGAACAAAGGTTTTATGTAGAAAGGAACAGTTGTATATAAATTCCCATCATGTTAAGTTACCCCAAATGATAGGATTCTGACTCCATGTGTACGCAGATTTCAGATTACTGGTTTTGAATGTATCAGGTTGTGTGGAAGCAGACTGAAAGGTATCCATTCACATTGAAATTGATATCCTAAGAGATTCCCCCTAACTTGCCGTCTTCCTTTAAAGATGAACAAAATGCAGTAATGATCTGTCATCACTCAGTGTTTGGTTTTAAATTTCTGGACAACATCAGGGTAATATGGGAAGGAATCAGAGTGGTTCTTTGTGTATCTGTGAGGATGAAAATATATATATATGAGACCACAGAATGCTTTGTCCTTTAAGAAAAGGGATTGTGTAAGCTCTTTGAGGGAAATGACTGCTTTTTGGATGGTTTTTTTCCACGACCTAGTACAGTGCCTGGCAAGTAAAAGGAAACAAGGAAGTAAAGTTATAGATTCACACTTTAGAAGATATGATCTTTTTGAGTCTACAAGAGGAAATAACGATATTTTAAAGTGGTATTGGAAAGGCTATACATTTGCAAAATTCAGAAAAAAAATCACATGGAGAAATTGTCCAGAAACTGTAAGCAGTTAGAACTGAGTGTGGGTTGGGAAAAGAAAAAATAAAATATAATAAAAAAAGAAATACAATATACTTTGAGTCAAGGTCCATTGAAGCTATATAAGAAATGGGAAATTGGAGAATAGTCAATATCTTCTAAAGTTGGAGAAAATGAAAGATTGTTTACAAATACCATTAAGATCAGGGAAATATGTGTGGGGGTTGCACATTAGAGATTAATTCAACAAATCTTTGAGATTTAAGACCCTAGTTTAGTTGCCCTAGAATTTCTGAAAAGTGAACACACCCTTATCAGTGTATCCTGGTGGATTTGCGCCTTCCATTCTCATTGGCTTTAACCATGGATGTTTGTTCTTTTCCAAGTCAACTTTACCCCAGGCAGCTTGGTGTGGATTTCTATTTAGCAGATGCCTGAGTCCTGCCTGGATACCCCATCTGCCTGAGAAGACGGACCTGAGGAGCAAATATGAGTTCGCCCACTTTATTTATCATCTGCTTTTCACCATAACTGTGACTGACTTGGGTCCATCATCCTCCACACTTACTGAATTGACAGGACCTGGGGCTCAACACATTTGAACTCTGGACTCTGCATTTACACAGAGAAGAAGGACCTGGAAAGTCATGCATTGCCAGGCCCTCCCCTGTCTTATCTGAAGGAATCCTGAGGGGACAGTGGGCTGGTAGAGTACAGAGAACTCCAAACTCCATGACTTCATGGTTTGGAACAACAGGTTTTGTCCTGGCGTCCTTTATAGATGAGTGGTTCCCAGTGTCTCTTCCATACATGATTGCATTTAGCTGGTCCTAGGAGTCTTTTCAAATTTCTGTGTCTTTTCCCAGTTACATCAAACCCAAATCATTTTGTTCACTTTTCAAAGACTTCAACCTCTGTCAGTGGTCTTCCTCTAGTGAGAGGGGATCAGCACGCATGGGCTGCCCGCTCTGAGCTCAGCACTGGACTAGATGCTGGATACACCATACTGCACACCGTATCTTGACAGTCAAAAGAATATCATCTAACCAGGGAGATAGAACTAACAAAGGGGAGCATATCCATGATAGCTGGGGTTCATCAAGCTAGAGCCGTGAGCAGTGAGTGAGGAGTCAGACAAGAGGACAAGGAGTAGCAGTGAGGATATGTCGGGTGCAATTGAGAGGGTAGTGCAGTTGTCTGAGGCAGGAGCTAAGCATGCGCTGAAGTAGCATGAATGATTATGTCATGGATCCCAGGAGAAGTTGCCATAGCAGCTCAAGAATGCAGAGTAGGACTTCAACGAGGGTGATGACAGTAAGAATGAAGAATAAGGTCAGGTGTGTGAAACATGAAAGGAGATTAGTTAGACAATCCTGTATAAAACAAATAAAAGTACTATTCATTATTTTCTTCTTGCTTTTCCTTCTCCCTAAATGTTTGTGCTGCATAAGTCCTGTAAATAAATAAAATAAAGCTTCTGAATTCCTGAATATTGCTAAATTACATCCTCTTCAACCAACCTTCTAGCTGCAAAATGATGTAACAAAAATAGGATGAGTAATTGACATATAAAGTCAAAGAAGCCTACATACCCACCTGGACTCCAGTTGGTGTAACCTGAGGATAGCTAGTTTACTTTGGTGAGTTAATTTTGGGGGGAGGTCGTGGTACTGGGGATTGAATTTAGGGGCACATCCCCAGCCCTATTTTGTATTTTATTTAGAGACGGGGTCTCACTGAGTTGCTTAGTGCCTCACTTTTGCTGAGGCTGGCTTTGAACTTGCCATCCTCCTGTCTCAGCCTCCTGAGCTGCTGGGATTACAGGTGTGTGCCACTGTTCTGGCCTGGTAAGTTAACGTTTTATCACCTGCAAATAGAAGAGAAGAATTCTCTCTAAGGTGGTTGTGAGAAATCAGTATATGAGATGGAGAACTCTTCTTGTCTTCCTTCAGAAAATTCATGAAAACCTGGAGAATCCACCAGATAGAGCTCGGCCCCAAATTACAGACCATAGATGGCCAAATACCAGCTGCAGATTTTACAAGAGGCATTTGTCCTTGGAATTGTAATATTATCATCACACCACTGAAGTAATCTGTACAAATATTTTCCACTCACTCTACCATACAGAATTAATATTTTTCTTGCCCCACTCCATATCTTAGAGTTTCCGATTTAAAACAAAAAGTGAAGGAGAATACATCCCTCACCTACCAGTGAATATAGTCCTTGGTTTCCAGTGGCTTTTCTTTTTGCCAGGCATTGATTTGGCCCTTCTATCAAAATGTCTTTGTATTTGCTGCAATTATCTTATAAATGAACTATCATTTCATTTCATGAGTTTTATGTTTTCTGTACAAAAATAGAAAGCTTAAGTTCTGCAATAACAAGTTGAATGTTTAGCTTATTGCATTCTGGAAATATATCAAATAGCAGGGATTTAATGTACAAGAAACATTGTGTTTGAGTTGTTTTTTGGCTTTCTGATTGTCATTATTTCAATTAACCAGCCTGGTTGTATGTCTCACCCTTTCCTGATCACGGGTTTTGGGGGCAGAGGGCACAGCCTGTTGAAAGGGTGCTTGGGGTGGGATGGAGAGGTCCCTTTTTCACTTTATAAGTTCTTCTTGGTAAGGGCAATGCATATGATTTAGAAAGGGAATCACAAATCAGACAAGATCTTGATATGGAAATCTGAAGGAGGGAGAAAGGAAAGAAAGAAGGAAGAGAGGGAAGGAGAGCTGAAGGCCAGGGGGCTTCCAAGTTCCATGTAACTAGTTTGGTTTTGTTTACCTAAGTTGTAAAAAAAAAAAAAAAACAGGATTTCATTGAAGCCTCACTATGTGCTAAGCTGGGGATTCCAAGGATATTCGCAGAAACAGAATGCTTGAATAAGCCAAAGAAAATGTTTCAGTGTTCAAAGCTGATAGTTTTGTGCAGATTGCAGAGGAGAATAGAATACTGCTTATGTAGAAAAATGGTCTTTATGGGGGAAAATACCTTATATGCCCTTATTCAATGAACAAGTTTGAGTGCTGGCTTGGGTGAGAAAGATGGAGAGGTTGGTTTCCTGATAGGGAAGAGAAGGAAACATATGGACTAAGGCTGGTGGAGATGACAGAAAGGTGACCTATGAGAACACCTCTTTACTGCAGATGACTGGGGTA